GCGCTGCATCTGGGCCTACGCTCCCCAGGCCCGGAGCTCCTGGGGATGCAGGCTGCTGCCCGGCTACGGCCCCTCCACCTAGTGGGTGAGGGCAGCTCGGGCACGGGAGGGCAAGGCCAGGACGGAGCCCCTGGGCTCTCGAGCTCAGCTGCCGGCTGGGTCCTGGGGGCGCCTGGCAAGTTCCTCCACTGGGCGGCAGCCCCTGGTCTGCAGGGACAATGGGTGTATGTGGACACTGAGGACCACCAGGGTGGGCACGGGGCTGGGGCGATGTTGCTGCAGCTGTGATCTTAATCCAAGCTTCTGCAGGCGGGTTGAGGCGCCCCTGGGCACCTTCCCAGCCATGAGTGGGCGGTGCTTACCTCTTTGTGACCTGACACTACACCTGACAGCGGCCTTGGGCAGCCGCAAGGGCTGCGCCCCAAGGAAAAGTCAAAATCCTTCATTAACAGCCCCTGGTGTTTTCTAGCTGCCATCTGCACCAGGGGCACGGAAGCCCCTCAGGGCTGCTCGGGAGAGCGCCGGGGAGTGGGAGCTGGAAGATGCTGTAAGTGCAAAGGACGAGTCACCGGGACGAGTCCGTGGGGTCCCCTTGCTGATGTAAGAGGCGGGGGCTGCGTCTGTATCCACCGGTGACTCACCGAAACAGTAATAGTGACGTCTGGGCAACAGTGAAAGTGTCTTTGTTCTTTGTCTTATTTTCAAAACAATGTTTCAGAATGTTATTTTTCAATAGACAGCAAGTAGAAATAAGTATCTAGCTGACCGGGCGCAGGCCAGAGGCAATAGGAGATGTCGCTGTGAAATGAAATGGATTGTCTAGAAAGCACGCGTGTCTCCAGGCCCCGGTGCAAGCCCACGCCCCGTGTTCATGGGGTTTTGATAGACGCGCTGGAATTTGGTTCTTGGTGCAGTTCCGTGGAAACTCGTCCGCCTTTTCGCACACCCACCACGTCCTGCACGCGCATTTCACACAGTGTCTCTGCGAAGAAGCGGCGTCTGTGCCCCTCTTTCGTGAAATCGAGGCTGAGTCCAGCTCGCCGTGCAAGTCCGGGTCTGAGCTGGCAGGTGCCAGAGCAGCTGTGAGCTTGGGCCGGCGACGCCAGGGGCGCGGGGAGCCCCATCCTGGCGACAAGGGGGGCGCAGGGTCCCGTCCACTTGGCAGGTCCGAGTTGGCTCCTGTCGGCACCCCCAGGCCTGGGCAGCAGAGAGCTTGAGAAACTGCGTGGTCCCCTGTGTCTCGTTTCCTTTCTGCTGAGATGGATCTAGAACACGAGCTTGCAAATGAGGATATCAGGAGATTAAGCGAGTTAATGCCCATGAAAGGGCTTGGCTCGCCGTCAGAGCTCTCATGCTGTCCTGGAAGCCTCGCTCCCCTAAGCCCCTAATTCCAGCAGAGGCGACGACTGGCTGGCCTTGGCCCCCCAGGATCTGCTGTTCCCCGAGAACCTGCACATCGTTGATGAGACGTGACTATTACATGAAACCTCGAGTGGGAGCTTAAGAAGAGGCAGCGCTTCTCTCACTGCATTTTCATAGAGGAAGGCGCGCTGCAGGCAGTGCTGTCGAAGGAAAACTCCATAAATTCAGTTTGCATATTTTTTATTGGATAATGGATTTGCTCAATATAGCCCCTACCCTACAGCCTTTCCTTCCCCTTTTTGTTTCTCAACCCAGTCTTCAGGGGCCACGTCTTGGTGGTGGTGCCACCAGGACCCTGAGACTTGGGCCAACGTTGCCTTCGCCCCAGCTCCACAGAGAGCTCCCCAGGGCCCTGGCGGCGGTGCCTGACTGGGAGCGCTCGGAGCTGGGGCGTTGGCCATGTAGGTGCACCTGTTGGGGGCCTGAGCCGGAAGCAAGGCCCATGGCCCTGTCTGGGCGGCTCCCTGGTGGCCTTGCCGTAGAGCCCGAGCTCCGGGCAGGCCGCGCACAGCCCTGACCAACAGCCCCCAGCATGGGCAGGAGCTCTGGGTGGGCTCCCGGGTCTGAGAAGTTTCCCTGCTGTCCCTTGGCTCTTCCTGGGGCTGCGCTGTAAACCTGGGGCGCATCAAACTTCTCTGCTGTGAAGGAAGGAATGTGGGTGACATTTCTTCATAGGCGGTGCTTTTCACCAGAGCCCTGAGATCCTTAGGTCACCCCTTTATTCAAACGGAGAAACAGCATTTCAGTGTATCAAATCATGCCCCTCGGTGCAAAAGCTGGAAAGGAGCTCGCAGGGCCGGGAGCCACGGAGCGAGCGGCCCTGTATTTCCAGGTGGCTGAGCCGGGAAGCAAGGGAGACAGCCTCATGGCGGCGCGACCCCCAGGGGCTGCCGCGCCCGTTCCTTCTGTTCCGCGCTCTTCTCACTTCGCTCTCGACTGAACACCTGACCTGCGGGGGGGGGGGGGGGGCGGCTTGGATCCTGCTAAAAACAGTAATGAAGCTCTGACAAAAGCAAAGCGCTTCGTGTCTATTTTGGTTACCTTCAAGCTAAGCATGGGTTTTTCTGGAAAGAAGGGGCGCTGGCCTGTCTCTCTGCGTGGAAAACAAGAGCTCAGCACAGCCGCGGCTCTCCTGGCTGCCTGACCTCCAGCCCAGCTCCGGATTCTTGATGACAAAACACATTCAATGCCCTTGATTGACTGAGCGGAGAAACCGCAGTCCCGAGGGGGACGCAGCCAACTGGGGCGTCGTGGTGGGCCGGCCGCTCGGCTCGGAGGCTGCGGGCATCGGCCTGCTCTGTGCTTTCTGGGAGACATGATACAGACCCCCGGCATTCGCTCAGACCCCTCCCTGCCCCCGCCCTGGCTTCTGCTGCATCTGGCCGGCACCCCGGGGCTTCATGCCTGCTGGCGCCCACCCGGCTGTGTCTGTGGCTGCTGGTGGCCAGATGTCCACGCTTGAAGGCCGGACACAGGCATCTGCATATGCTCACTCTCTAGGGCGGGTCCCCCTCTGTCCAGGGCGTCAAGGTGGTTCTGTTGTTTCAACCAGAGCTGGGCCAAGAGGCCCCCTCCGTAGCCCCCCAGGTTCACCCCGCACGGTACCACCAGCACCCCACCCCCTTCCGTAGCTTGCCTTACACAGTCTGGTGCATTCTGAGATTTGTAGAACTTATTTTCAGATTAAAGCAGGGTGTCCTTGCTGGTGGGGACAGAGACGCCGACAGTTGGAAAGTGGCCGCTCGCTGGCGCGGGACCAAGATCAGCCAGGTGAGACTCGTGGCCCTGGAATTCCCAGACTGTCATCAGTCATGGGCGCGCTGCCTCCTGGAAGCCCGGAGCCGCTGTCCCAAGTGCATATCTGGGGCGTGAATAAGTTTCCTTTGAATATTGTGCTGTCGTGAAAGATTCCAGCCGTTCCAGAAACTTCAGGCTGGGGTGGGCGGCCCCTCCCCTGCTGGCTTTCTCTGCAGTATAGGCTTTTGACCTGAGTGTCCTTAGAAATTCACCTTTCCAGCTCCTCAAATCACGGAAATGGCAGCTAAGGACACAGGGCAAAGGCTGCACTCATGCAGAGATGGATGGGAACCCCGACATGTGACTCTGACCCTCATTCTGGGACAAGGACCACACGACCTCCTGGTTCCGGGTCACGTTTGTGAAGCAGTGCAGGCAGGTTCTGTCCTGCAGTTTAGGGGGCGCTGAGTCTCCTGCTGCTGCTGGAGGGTGGCTCTGTCCTCGGCAGAACGTCATCGAGGGCCTATGTGTGCCCCAGACGTGATTGCCGGAGGAGACAGCAGCAACAGCTGTTGCCTGCTGGCCCTAAGCCCTCAGGGGTCACAGACTGGACAGAGCGGACCTGCCCACACCCCGTGGCTCAGTGGGTCTGGGGGCGACTGGCAACTTTGGCTGTGGTCTCCCTGGTTACTCTGACAACTTGCCCCAGGGGTGCGTGGGGCCCTTCTCCACCCGCCCTGAGAACACCCAGCCAGGAGGCTGAGGCTCTGCACCGGTGGGCTCAGCACTGTGGCGATGCAGCTGCCGTGGCCTCCGGGGAGCATGTAGGGGCAGAGCGCCTGCGGCCCAGGGTGCCTGGGCCTCACTGCCCTCCACAGGGTGACAAGGCCGCAGAGTCCCAAATCTCTGCAGGTGACTGTGAGGGCATTTTGCAGACAGAGAGCTGGAAAAGGATGGTTCTAGATGCCACGTGTGTTGGTGGATTTGCCTTCGGTTCTAGAATTGGGCTGGAGGGGGGTAGTGATGGAATGATGACGTTTAACCTAAGGACTCTTACTAAATGCTGTAGGTGCTGGGTGAGGGAGTCGGGTGGGGGGCAGCGTTCCTGTGATGCTGGCGGGACACGCCTGCTGGGCACCCTGCGGAGCCCTGGATTCCTCTGGCCCCAGACCCAGGGTGGAAGGAGGGGGTCTGTGGGCACACCCAGCCCCGTGCAGGCCATGCCCGCTGCCCCCCCCCCCCGCACATGCTCCCCGCCTGAACCCCAGCAGGAAACGGAGAAATCAGTGTCTCCGGGGGCTTGCCCCACACAGAAATCTGTCGCTCTTCGCTGTCTGCGCGCGGGCTCCATCAAAATTCAAATGAACTGCTCTGAAAACAAGGCGGCTGGAAGCAAGATTGGAATTGAGCGACGCATTTTTTTCATCTGCTGTCCCCTAAAGAAGATAGAAAAGAAAATCCGATTGATAAGGTGGGGACACGATGTGCACCAAAACAAAAACAACAAAGTCGACTAAGGGCCGCATCTGTCCGTGGCGCGGCCGGCGGCCTCCGGGCCCCGCGGCCTCAGCGCCGGCAGGAGACGCGCTGCGCCCTCCCGGAGGCCCGGGTCTGAGGCAGGGACGGCCGCCTTCCCACTCAGTCAGTTCTCGAGGTCGCGCTGGCGGGATCGGCCTGGAGCGCGAGCTGGTCTGAGCCCGGGACTCGGGGGGGGGGGGGGGTCCCCCCCGGGTGGTAACCGTGGCAACGGGGGCGGGGACTTGCTCCGCCGCCTCGCGGGCCGCGCGGCCGGAGCGCGCCGGGGAAGTTTGGCCCGTCCGCCGCGCCGTAGGCCGCGGTGCATGCTGGGCCCTGCAATATGGCGTCCTCCTTGATGTGCTGATGAGAGGAGTTTCACTGTAGCCCCAAAGCAGAGGGCAAACTCCCCTCGCCCCGCCAGCCCGCGCGACTCGTCCTCTCCGCGGCTCCGCGTCGCCCGCTTCTCAGGACTCGCTCCCGGGCAGGGGAGAGCCACGGGATCGGAGGCCGGGCCCGGCTAGGCCGCGCGGATCGGGGCGGAGAGCCGGCTGCGGCGAGCACGATGGGCCGGTCCTGGCTCTGGGCGCAGCAGCCCCGGCGAGTGCGGGACCCCCAGGGCTGAGAGTGGCCGCAGGAGATCCGCGGCGCGCTGGGCCTCTCCCCGCGGCCGAGACTCAGTCCCGCCGGCGCACCGGCGCCGAGAGCGGGCGGCCTGCCCGTCCTCCGCTCGGCCGAGGCGTTGGAGGCCGGGAGCCGGGTCACCGCGACGCCCGGAGCCGCGCGCGCCTCTGACAGCTGCGATCGCAGCCCCACCGGGTCGCGCAGCCGCGGCGGCCGCCAGGGACTTGGGGCCCGGGGGCGTGAGGGTCCGTGCGGAGCTCCTTGGGCTGCCCTTTACTCCACGTCTCCCCGCCCCCCACCCCGACTTCCCGCGCAGAGCTGGAGATAAGGATCTCAGACTTTTGCCCGAGGAAGGGTCTCCGCACACTCCCCGTCCGTTTCTTTTCCTGCTCTCCCACTTCTGGTTCTTATTTCACCAGCACTGGTACACACTAGTTTTTAAGGCTGGAGGTTCTCGAGCGCTTGCTGCCCAGGACTCCCCCACCCCCTCCCCCCCTGATGGAGTCCGAAATGCTGCAATCGCCTCTTCTGGGACTCGGGGAGGAAGATGAGGCCGACCTTACCGACTGGAACCTGCCTTTGGCTTTTATGAAAAAGAGGCACTGTGAAAAAATCGAAGGCTCCAAATCCTTAGCTCAGAGCTGGAGAATGAAGGATCGGGTAAGTGGATTCCGATCGCGCCCCTTGGATCGTCGTAGTTTTTTCAGTGAAGAAAGTTCAGAGCCGGGTAATTGTTCTTGGGAAAGCCACGATCTTTTTTCCCCAGCCACAAGTTGCAAATTAACTAAGAAACAGTAGCCATTTCAGACTCCATTTAGGGGGTTAAAAATGGAAAAGACTCTTTTGGTTAGTAGTTATCCACTGGAGTAGTTTTAATTCAATTCAAACTTAGTTCTAATTCAGACAAGGTTAAGTGAGTTAGAAAATACAGCCTTGAAAGTATTTACAGACTCTTTGATATATTATACTAAGTACTGTCAACACATAGGGGAACTTGGGATACAGCACTTGTACCCACCCCAATAGTCTGCTTTTTATTGTCCGAGCCAGGTGAAGTGCAGAAGTCTAATAAAGTATGCTAGGAAACAGGCTTACTTACAAATGTTCAGCTAGTAACAAATTAATGAAAAGTTATTTTAAAGTTACAATGAACTCCTCACAGCAGTCTGAGCATTTATCTTCTATCCAAACTTTCCTCCCCTTATGTGTTGTCTTGTCACTGTCACTTGCAGACAGCATTTCTCCTGTGGGAGTTAAGAGTACGAGGGGTTCATGGTTTAAGGGTTCCCTGTGGCTTTGCAGTGTAGACAGAGATTCGCAAGCAGCTGAGCCTGTTTTGCTGAGTCTGTCCTTAACCAACCACCATCAATTTCCTCCTTAGCAAAAGTGGGACTGTCTCTGCTATGCACAAAAAAAGTAAATGTCTTTTTGTGATTTATCTTCTCCTTTAAGACTGCCTTTATTTACTTGAACATGTCAGTGGTGGCAAAAGGGGAGTGGCTGTTACAACTCTGGGCTTCTGAATGTATTTATAGCAGGTTATTATTTTTAAGTATATCGTGTCAAACATGTAAGATTAACTCAAGGCAATTCTAGTTAGTCACTAGTAAGCAGTATTTCAGTTATTGATCTGGTCTACTTTGAAAAGGGTTAAGAAAATTTGTTTAATCCAAAAGTAGTTTAAGGAGTAAAAGAGATGATCATCTTAAGTATTAGTTTCGGAGTTCAAAACTGTGGTAGTTGCTATGGGCAGATAAAAAAATATTTTAAAAAGTCACTGTCTAACTTTTTAAAGTTCTATCTGAAGGTTTTTTTTTTTCCTTTTGAAATGTGGATCTTTCTGCTATCCTAAACCTGTGCTCAAACTGGTCAAAAGTAACTAACGGCTGTATTTTTGACCTTTTCATTAAAATATTAACGTGCGAATGATCAGTGTTCCCTGATAAGCCCCTAGTAGGTTGTTTAGAGAAGGAAAGTCCTGTGAGTCCAGGCACCTACTGAGAAGGCGCCTTGGAAAATGCTGGGGCGAGGCCTGCTGGGTCTGACTGGGCAAGACCGCGCGGGCTCAGTGGAGAGAACTGGCAGCGAGGATCCCCAGTAGCTTGCAAGAGTTTGGCATTTTAATGGCCCCTGTGGTCCCTCTCCTCTAGTTAGACTTGAGGGATCTTTTTGGCACATCCTTCTAGGCCGGAGGTTGCGATTCAAGTGATGCTCAGGCAGGCGGCATATCTCAGTGGAACAGCCCAGACGTGAAAATGGCGTCCGGCCGCAGGGAGCTGGCAGCTCACACTCAGCTCTGGGCGCTCTTCAGGAGGGAGGACATGGACTGCAGGCCGCTGCTAAAGAGCAGCTGGGCCTCGGGCACGTCCTGCTCGCTGTCCTTCCTTTTTCTTTGAGAAGTCAGAAGTAAAAAAAAAAAAAAAAAAAAAAACCAATGAAGACTTCCAATTTGAAAGTACTGGCTCTAATTCAGATATTGCAAAACATGAAGCAGCCCAACACCGCAGGCCAAACACACCCGTTGGTGGGGCTGGTTCTGGCAGGTGGCAACGTGCGTGGCTCCGGCCGGGTGATGGCTCCTCCAGGCAGCCGCTCTGGCTCCAGGCAGCTGGGGCCAGAGGTGGCGACCGCACTACTGTGCGAACCTGGTTGTCCTGCCCTGGGACCGCCGCCCACACGTCTCCTGGTGGCCCACAAGCTTCATCCTGGACCCGCGAGCGGCCCCAGGTGCTTCCCTGTTCTGTCTGCTTGTGGCGCTGGGCCTGCTGAGTCAAGTTGGGGGTGCCTGGAGCTCACGGCTTTCCTGAAGTGGACAGCGCGCCAGCGTTTCTGCCTCTTGGTTTTCGGCTCCTGGTGGAGCCACAGAACTCGCCTCTCGGCTGGGATGCCCGCGGTCTTGGCTGTGAACCAACCCTGGTTTTCACATGCCAGTGCAATTGTGGTTTCATTACTAAGTCACAGTTACTATCAAGTCTGCATGGCGTTGGGCCGATTGTCTGTGTGGTGAATGACAGGCCCGGCCTCGGGACACTTTGGCTTGTCATTTTCAAATGACTAGACTTAGAGGAACAACAGCTGAAACGAAGCTGTCATCGGCCTCTGGCTGGGACAGATGTGTGTTCATTGCCCCGTTTGCTCTTGCTCGTCATGCTTCAACATCAGCGCAGCGCCTGATGTAGGGTTAGTGGCCTTGGTGCCCTCTGGCCTGTGTCCGTGGTGGGCTTGGGTGGGAGAGCTGCTGCCCTGGGAGCCTGCGGTCGGTGCCCGCTGGTCTCTGAGCCCGGTCAGACTGCTTTGAGGCCACATGTGAGTTGCAGGAGCGAGCGGGACGGCCCATTAGCCATGGACAGAGTGAAGCTCGCCGCCCCTCATGCCCCCATGTCCTCCGGCCAGGACTCCAGGCCACTCGGAGGCCTCCCACCACCGTCACCAGACCCAAGGGGCACACCCCTGCCCTTGCTGGATATCAGCAGCGTGCAGCAGTGGGCCATCCCCTCCCCAGCTCGCCTGCCTCCAGGGCTCCCGGCCACCCCGGCTGGTGCATCTTCCCCTCTTTGTGACCCCAGACTCTGCTTCGAGGCCCAGATCCCCTCAGCCCCGACTTCCTGCTGTGCTTTTGCTCTCTCCTCAACGTGCCACCCTCGGCATAGAGGCTAAGGTATAGATGGTGGCCTGGCCTCAGCCCCTCCCATGCTCTGCTCGTGGCCCGCCGCAGCCCTGCTGCCAGGCCTGTCACCTGCCATCCTCGCCTTGTCCCTAGCCAGGCCGGGCAGCCGCCACCTGTGGCCAGACCCCTGCGGTCCCATGCTGACCGGTCCCCCTCCGCCCCTCGCGCCTCCCTGACATCACACGGAGGTCACAGGGGTCTGTTCCAAGTCCCTCCCTCCAGCTGGCCCCACCTGCTCTCCCAGCTTCGCCCTCTGGTCCCGCGGCCTTTTCTGCTCCGTGGCTGGGGAGGCCCGGGACGCGTGTCCCTCCTGCATGTGCTTCCTCCAGTCGCCTTCGCTCTCAGCCCGTCCACCTCGTCCCCAGAGAGCCGCCCCTCCAGCCCAAGCAGCTCCCCAACGGCTCCCGGGCCTCTTCCTCTGGTGGTGCTCTGCTGCCCGCACCCCCCCTCCCCGCCCCGAGAGTGCTCTTGCCTTAGAGTGAGGCCGAGTCCGCCGGTACGAGGCCCACAGAAGGGGCGCAGTGAAACGGACTGGCAGCCGGGGTGCGGGGTGCCTGCCGGGGTGGTCCCTTGGTGCTGAGCAGCCCCGTCATCCCGTGCCTGATGGGGAGACTGAGACGTCAGGGGGACCATGCGACTCACAGCCCTCCCTGCCCTGGAGCCGTCCTGCCCTCGGCATTTGTCACCGAGTCTCAGCAGCCACAAAGCAGCATCTGTGGACTTTTCCAACCTGCTTTATTTATTTATTTTTAAAGATTTATTTATTTATGCATACAAGAGCTGGGTACAGGCCAGAGGTGTAGGGGGTGGTGAGAGGACAGAGACAGAGACAGAGTGGGGAGCAGAATGGGTGGATGTACTGAAATCCACTGCTGAGGGGAGCGGCGGGCGAGGCAAGAGAGGTCTGCGCCATGTGGGTGGCTCCCTGGCCAGGGATCGAACCCACGCTACAGTGGCAGTGAACAGCCTCACAGGTTGCGTCTTAACCCCTTGCATCACCAGGGAGGCCCTCAACCTGCTTTAAAAAAACGTGCTGCGCTCCATTTTGGAGGCCGCTGCGGGCGCGTCCAGGAGTGCTGGGAGCGCCTCCTCCTCGTGTCGCCTCGCAGAACGCTGGAGGCGCTGCCGCTGCTGGACGTCGTGGCTGCATGTTGGGGGCGTCCTCGGGCCCCAATATCCATCTAGGCTCGGGCAGTGCCAGCACCTGGCCTCTCGCCCTGGCAGAGCCTACCCCTCCCTTCTTTACAGCCTCCTTAGAGAGGCGCACGTTAAGGAGTTGGACGGCCACTAAAGAGCCAGCGGTGTCCCCAGTGCCTAGCCGACCTCGCCGCACGGTGACCCGCAGCACGCCGAGGTCAGCAGATGGCAGCGGCGGAAGCCACGTCTCCCACTCCTGCTGAGACCGCGCAGGGCACACCCGCTGTGGAGAGCATGCCCGGGCCCCGGCCTGGCCTGTCACCCCTCCCAAGGCCCGGGGTCCCCCGAAAAGGCGATTCCAGGCATGAGGCCGGCCTCACCGGGCGGCTCCTGCGCTGGAGGGGTCTCGGCTCGGCCACCGCTTGCACGTCCTCCCGAGAGCTTCGGCTCTGGAAATGGAGCATCACACTGAAAATGGCCGTGGCGCTGCAGAGGCCCGTTGTTTTCATGACTTCCCTGAAAACCTGATTCTCTTCGCTTATAAAAATAGCGCCTCATTGCAGACACGTGTCAGTAAGGGGTGGACATAGGAATGGCCGACCCCGCTGGGCTGTGGTTCGCTGGACGTGCCTGCGCCCCTTCCCCCGCCCTCCCCGACTGGACTCGCCCCGGGTGCTTCAAGGATTATGGGGTTGTCTGGTCTTGAAACGCTTGCCCTTGTGGGATCTGAGGCACAGTGATGCCCCCCACCCCGCGCCCTCACAGGTACTGACCCGTCTCTCCTGCCGCCCGAGTGGTGGGGGGCGAGATTTCAGGGGAGCTCGGGCCCTCGACCCCTCGGGCAGCCCGGAGCGGG